TGATCAGCCATGAGGGAAAAATATGTATATAAGAGTGGTGTGGGGAATGAAATATGGTGCAAGTATTGGGCTTGATACTTTGCAAACAATAAAAAAGGGGAAAGGCAAAGTGGAGTAAAAAAATATTTGTAAAGAAGAAGCTGTGGTTAAAAGTATTATAAGGAATGTAAGGCTAAGTACTTGTAAAACAACATGTTGAAGTGGAAATTTCTGTGAAAAAGGTGACAGGAAGGAAATGAACGGAGAAGGCCTTCTCTCCGTATTTATAAGCGAGGGAGGGAGTTTGGGCACAAAGGCCAGGGGCTCAACATCCGGTCGCGTTGCATTCACAGGTTCATGACTTTTGTTACTTTTTCAAATGACAGGTAAATAGATAAATCCAAGAAAGTTATTGTAAGTTTCTTGAAAAGAGCTGGGTCCCACTGTGTCATGAGAAACAAAGAGAAAGACGGTAGTGAAGATGAGAGGACTTGTAGGAATTCTTTAAAGACACATTCCTTAAAAGTAGGGTCCGCCACTTTGTGAGATGGAAGAAAGTTTACTGCAAGTTTTTAGATTTGAAAAGTGATGGGTCAAGAAAGGACTTGCAGGAATCTTTAATGGTCTGCTATCACTACAGTTCATGTAAGTGATTCAAATGCCTTTAAATGGTGTAAGCGGCATTTGTTTAAAAAAAAATGATACAGGCGGCTACCATTAATTCTCGCCAGTCATCACAACCAATACCGAGTTGCGTCAGCTCCAGTTGCAGATCATTTCTCTTCTTCGGTCCTTACAAAACACATTATTAATTCCAAATTTCAGTAAAATGGCGGTGTTCCCACACCCTAATAAAGCTTCCACTGTGAAAGACTCAACAGGCATAGCGAAAAGAGCTTTCTTGTGAAAGCGGCTTTCGGCGAAGTGGTCTGCATAAGAAAGGAGGGACACCATCTCTAAAGGCAACCTATAATCATGCACTCCCCACTAGTGTACTATGACTTCGACAAGTTCATGAAGTGGCCATGAAATATGAAAATCTTGCATGGTTATACATTTTCAAAATTACCACGACTAATTTTGAGCACTATAGTCGGCTCACAAACGACAATTACAGTCAAATGACAAGCGTAGACAAAAAAAAATGGAGTGCATGCGCAGGACGCTTCTCACGACCTAGCGCGCGCAAGGGGCAAATATAATACTCGAAAAAAACTTCAAGACACGTATCTCCACTATAACAGGAGAAGTGGCAACGGTTATTAGTTGACATGGAAATGGGGCCTGACAGAGTTCAGCTGGACTGGTATAGATAACAGTGACAAGTACGACATCCTTGGACGCGACGCCCTCAAGCACGATACCGCATCAGGGCGAGATGCATCTCCATCACGTTGGAATTGGCAAAATGGACCTTTCACCAAGGTTAGGCAAAATTGGAATCGCAGAAGTGTGGGAGCAACCTCAGTGAGACTCGCCTCCCCCGCTGCGGGAATGGTATCCTCAACCTATTGAATGTCATTGCTCGACTGGCCCATTGGACTAAAGAGGTGACCCCACCTAGAGACATGGGAGTGTGGCCCTCCTCAAGGGAGAATTGAGCAATAGGGGCGGATGAGCGTCGATTGTCAACCTCGGCCTAGGATAGGGTCTCGAAGGTTTAGTCTGCTTAAGCAAGCCTCCTAGTGTATGACTCACTGCTCACTGGGATGTGCTTGACTGAGATCTAGAGAGACTCCTAAAGTAACTGGGATTATTGGTCCGGGTCAGCATATAGGATGATGGGACATGTAGATTGATGGCTGAAGGACCGAAACTATATGGGTTTCCTCTATCGGGCACCTCGACAAAAGTCTCAAGGAATGGTCTAAAGAGGGAAAGAAGGACCCCAAGTTGGAGCGCGTTGGAGGCATCATGGGCATGGTCCTCTCGAGATCATGGTCCCATGGTGACCTGTCACGATCATGGACCTTGGGAGCCCTCTCTCACCTTGGTTGTCACACCTTCCTTGGGGCCATGTCTAGGTTGCGTTTGGAGAAACATCACATTTGCCTAGTTAATGTTGGGACGTGTGGCTTGCCATTAACGACCATTGGTATCGTCGTGGTCAAGGTAGTTATGGGTTAGCGCGAATGGTAGAGGGTCGCGGCGGGCAGCCCTTTGGGTGGCCCGACCTGCCCGAGCACTGTGCTATAAATACCCACATTACTTGCCCACTGCAGAGGATGATTTTTCTGGCTGGTGAGATCATTTTTCACTTACCCTCTACCCAACTAATTTGTCCCTCCATTAACAGGCTGCTCAAGTTCCTTCCATCCCATCCACTTACCCTACTCACCCCCTTCGATTACACTTGGCACAAACCTCTTTTAACTCCCCACCTACAATTTTTTCTACTTGGAAGTTGATTGATGGTCATCATGTGCAGCATGAAAAGTATCTAATGGATCCAGATTGTAGAATTAGCAAAGTTTTCAATGTAGCATGTGAATACACATAGGATGTAGTATGTTTTTTAATACACACTTAAGATGAACCCTTAATTAATTTTAACTTAGGATGATTAGGATGAAAATAAAATTGAAAGCAATCCATGTATGGCTCCTACGTGATTTCAAAAGAAAAGATTTTTTAAACAATTTTGTGTGTTGAAAACATAGATTGAGTACTTCTCAAAAAAACATATATTGAGCCATTATCGGACCCCTCTTGATCAATACCCTTTAGTGCTCAAGAGAACTAGTTTTCGCTTGGTTTTGTGCTTAAAAGACCTGTAGGAACCAAGCTATGCTCAATAATCTTGACTAAGTTCCTTTATGACTTAAAAAATTAGACAGGAAAAAGTCACAGTAGAACAACATATAGCTCGCTTGAGCTGTCCTTCAAGGTCGCTCAAGCGGTGTTGCTCCTAGACAAAATAGAAACATGATTTTCATTCCAATGCCAACCGTTCTATGACTGCTTTCCCACCGACCAAGCGGTCGTTTGCGATTTTGAATTTTTTTTATTTACTAATATTACTCTTATTTTGTACCTATAAATAAGGAAAACCTTTTTCACATCTAGCCAAAGCCTCTTATGAGATTTCTAAAAAAGGAAACACATATTCTATCTTAAGAACTGCCACCAGTAACCTAGATCACTAAATTCAAATACTACCACTATAAATTCTACCCAACCTCATAATTTAGTGTTGAAGATCTTGATGACGTAAACCAAATCTATTGGTGTGTGCATACTAGGGATCGTTGGCGTGCCCATGATTTCTCAAGGCCTAAGCGAACCATGTGGCTGGGAGCTCCAAGTAAAGCTACACTAGATGTTGAAGAAGGGCATTCGACGAAGAGACAATAAGGAAAGGAGCATCTAACCATGATATTGGTTTAAATACAAGACTCAAGTACTTGTATGTTGACTTAGCGAGCTATGGGGAGTTGCGAAAGTTCCCCACGACTTTTCCTAATTAGGGTTTCTACGTCAACAAATTACTTGTGTTAATCTTGCATGTTTCATATATACTTGTGATTGTGAGTACACATGCGTACTATGTGTTTGTCGATTTGATTGATTGACGATCTATTCAACAATAGTGCGCAAATTGGGATTTGGCATTGACGTGAGACTGATTACGAGCATATTACTTGAAACTAATTTAATCATCATATCATGTGCAAAATAGGTTGTGGTAACTAAAGAAGTTGTCACATTATTTGCAATATCTTTGTGAGAAGAGATAATTTTAGTGTTTAGTTTTTACCTATTCACCCCTCATCTAGGTGAAATGTCTACTGCTCCATGTATATAATCATGAGGAAAGATCTTATAACGCTCTAAAATTCACCTTAGAAGACATTACTATCTCAAAACTATCCAACTCTCTGATAACAACTAAAAATAACCATTTAAATAATAAATCATCCATCCATCCAATAAATACCATATACTAAGATAATAAAATATTGAACATTGTTTCATAGCAATATCTCAAAGTCTAAACTAGTAAAGAGACATCCCTACTATTCCAAGGCGAAATCCATATCTTAATTTTCCACCGCCTTATAGCCAACCTATTCATCCACATCAACATTCTCTTCCATGTCAAAATCTATAAATGTATTATTGTAGGGGGTGAGCAAAAGTCCGCAGAAAATTCCTCTCAAATCTAGACAATGTTTTAAAACAATATAAAGATGGCAAGTCTCTTTTCAAAAATAGCATATATATCTTTTTGAAAGTAAAATAAGGACAATTGTAGTGATCTCAATTGTATGGAATACAGTAAATCAGTGACAGGAATAAGCATTTAAAGATCAAAGCAGTCAATGAATAATTCAATAACCTCATCTCATTTGTCTCATGCATGTTGATTACTTCTCAAGAATCTATACAACGACCCTACCTTGTTTACTCATCACAAACACAAACAAATCTCAATAATTTCCCGTAAGGCTACATCACCAACTACTTTAGAAATGACTTATACCATCTCACACAATATTGATGAATTCTTCGCAAGAAAGGTATATCGTCACTTAGCTTCAAACTTACGTAAACAATAATTATTGATCTCTCAAATAAATAACTCACTGCAAGTGTTAGAGAACCATCTCACCGCCACTGAGATAAACTAATCTCCAACATTCTATGTCAGAAATCACCCATGGCATCGCAAAAATATCCAGCTGATGAACTTTCTCATCCAAAAATTCCTGTCAAACTCATCACTTTGAAAACGTGATTCCTATGTTACCCTTTGAGAAATTCAACCGATGAACTTTCTTATTGAAAAATTCTTTCTCACACAGTAGGTGCGCTGTGATGACTATTCATCCTTGGAATAGGTTTACGATGGGTGGAGTTGGTTTGTTGTAAGGTCGTTACCCTTTGTGAAAGTTTATTGAATACACATGAAGTGTGTTGTAAGGTCTATTCACAGTGAGGAGGAAGGAGTGGGTTTACGGTGGAGGAGCAAAGAGGGTGTGTATTTGTGTGCGGATAGGAATGTGTGTATGTGTTCAAAGGGTGTGTTGTCTATGAAAGACGGAGGGAGTGTGAAGGAGGTAGATGGTAGAAAGAAGACAGAGGGGGGGGTGCATGTCTATTTATGTGGTGGCGCAACGGCAAGAGGGAAGAAATGGTGGAAAGAGAGACAGAGGGAGGGCGGAGACTTTGAGAGATGGTTGAAGGAGTAAAAAGAGTGAAGGGCAGAGATGCAGGGGAAAAATTTGTGACTGACCAGGGAGGGAGGGAGGAGAGAAAAAAAACTAGAGAGAGAGGAGAGAGAAAAAAGGGGATATGGGAGGCGGCCACGTCTCTTGTGATTGATAGGTGAGTGGTCTAATTGACTCATGATGGGAGGAAAAAAAAAGCTAGGTGGGAAAAAATTAATAGATTTTTTTGATAAGTAAAAATTTTGTAGATTAATTGTGCATCATTGGATCGATAGACATAGCTTGAGGATTTATTTATTTTTGGTCAATTTTAGAGACTATTACTAATGACTTATTTGTTTTTGAGTTAATTAAAACTCTGACGGTGTATTTGAAGATATATTTGTGAAAAATTGTCGAAAGATTTATCAAATAATGCATATGAAAAATCAAGACATTACAAGAGTTGTATCAAAGTTATTAAGTAACATGTTTTTCTTGATGTACTAATCGTTGCTCACCTACATTGTATGTGAACAACTTTAAATTTTAATTTTAATTTTTTTATATATTTATCAGTTGTTACAATCTGTATGGTTCATGTGTGTATATATTACTAATATATCTTGTCTAACTAATATAAATAACTAATGACATTTTTTCTCTAAATCACACATCTCCCTAAAATTAAAGGTTTCAATTCTAAGGTTAGGTAGGTATTAAATTTTAGAATATAATGTTTATGCATTACTAAATCTCTTATTTTTGGGTTAAAAAACAAATTTATTTTTATTTTTAGATTAGGAAGGAAATATAACATATTGTTGCTCCAAAATCTCTTAAGATCAATAGAGATATCTTAATAGAAGACAATTTTCAGGCGACTATATTTGTAAGGAGTTTTAATGCCGTGTTTTAGGACTTACTTGGATGAAAAAAATAATGAACAAACATATAGTGCAGAGAACTAATTAAAGAATATTCCTTTATTAATGCAATCGAAATGACTTCACTGATAAAAAGACTGAATAGACAATCTTGATTGCAACACTAATTGTCTTCTAAATATAATTTAAAACTACTCCTAAACGCCCAAATCGTAGGTGTTTTGAGGGTTTGATTCCATCTTTTCCATTACACACCCTTTTATAGCCATTTTTGACATTTTTTGCCCCCGTCGACATTTACCAATTATTAACTTTTAGTTAGTTATTTTTTTCTTTCCAAATATGGTTGTGGTTGATATTCTCCTACCCTTCTTTATANCCGCCCCGTCCCCGTTACCCGTTAAATATATATACTCTGCCCTAATTTACTCTACTCTTCTTCCTCACTTAGCCACCCACCTCTTCCCCTATCTCTCTTTCAGCGATCAACCTTCACCTTCAGCGATTTTGTTTTGCAATATGAAAAATCACGATGAGTACCTTCTCTAAGATGGAGTATGAGGTAGGAGAATGACAAGTTCCCAAAGGTGTTCCAAAGCTTGTAAACTTGATGGAAGAAATGGACCACAGCGAAGGTGAGCTTTGGGATTGTGAAACTCTTCTGTTTTATAAAACTTTCAATGTGCCAATTTTTAATGGTTGGGTGATACTCAGTGACATCGGCACAAACACTGGTTACTGCTTTTTTCAAAAGAGCAATTATTGTAGGATCTCCCTGTTAACTACTTGCACAGTGCAATGAACTATTAGTTGATTTATCTTCTTTCGGATTTTCACAAATATTATGCCTTTTAACAGGTATTTTTTTTTCGTCGACTCCTTTTCTATGCTTGTAGTTGATTTGTTTTCAAAGGCACATTTACCTGGTTTTGTTAAGGGTATACAAAATATTGTGAAACATGGTTTTGTTCAAGGAAAAACATGGTTTTGGGCTTGGGCGGGTACGGGGGGAGCGCGAACGGGGATTATAAATTTATCCACAGACGGGGATGAGGATGAAAATTATATCTATTAGCGGGAGTGGACCGGGATGAACGAAAATTTTTTAAGCGGGTACGGGGATGGAGACTATACCCCCCACCCCCGCTTCGGTCTATTGACATCCCTACTTGTTGGTTTTCACAACAAATAATTAACACAAATAATACTAATTGAAAAATAGGAATTCAAAGATAGGAAAACAATAAAACACATGATATAAATATATAACATAATTCGATACCACATACCCACCTTAGTACACTATACCTATATCCACAGATCAAAAATCTATATCAATGTACTTATCACTTAAAAATTAGTCATTTGGTAATTGATTACATAATACTCAACTCTATTTCTAAAGATAAAATATTGTAATCCAAGCATATTCAAATACAACTTAATCTTTATGTTTCCGATCACACGTCTAATATACCAATTCATAGTATATTAAAACTCTTCAAATTTATTTCTATTTGATTAGGTTACTAATAAACTTATGGTTTTATTAGGAGTCTTATATTGATTACCACCAAGTTTGAATATGTGAATCTCATTACTACTCTTTGATAATAAAAGGTAATTAGACTCATTAATCTTCTGTGAAATAATAATGTCACTTAATTTTTTATTATTAAGAGTATTGATGGATTCATCTACAGTCACGATCGGGCCAACAGTATATTGAATAAAGCCTAGGCTTTAGGCCCCAAATTTTTAACAGATTCTATAATTTTAGGTACATTACTAGCCCACAAAAAAATATAAATCAAAAAAATTAAACACTAAAAAATTAAGTCCCATCAAAATTTTTATTGCAATAATTCGGGCCAATGATCTAAAACATAACATTAGAAACCTAAAAATTAAAAGTTAAAATATAAAAAAATATTCAAAAGGCAACTCATATTTACCCTCACACATTCTCTCTCTTCGATAAAAAAATAAAAAATAAAAACAAAAATTAAAATTAAATTCTCTCTCTCTCAAGTAAAAAATAAAAGCAAAAGTTGAACTATCTTTCTTGACGACACTATCACAACTTTCTTCTATGTCTTTTACCTAAAAAAATTAAAAATAAAATAATTTTTTCAAAAATTAATATCAAAAATAAAAATAGCATCATTTAGTGATTTTGCTTTAGGCCTCAAACTATCTTAAGCCGCCCCTGTCCTCAATTTGTAATTCAAGAAAAGAATCACTCTTACTACATTGATCATGCTGAACATCTTGTTCTTGGATCAAATTATTAAATATCGTGGTCAATGTGTTAAGCATGTCTTTTATCTCTACAATATTTTGGCTCATTTGGGCATTGAAAGCTAGTTGGGTTTGCATAACTGCATTCAAAATATTCTCCAATTTCTCTTCTTGTGGGTCGTGGTATGAGAGATATTTGAGAGTTGCTTGTGGTGTGTGGAATGTACCAGTAAATGATTATGTTCGTTCCCCCAACCTAAATTAGAATAAAAAATTTCAAAACAATTGTTGGGATAATGTTGCAGAGAATTAGATAATATAATTGACACATCCCACAAAAACCTTCAAAACGTTGAGATTAAAGGGCATTCATCAATTGTATGCCCACACTCAGCACATATTTTACACATATACTCCATAGATGAAGCATACTCGGGTTTGTGATGAAAATCACAAGACTTATCTGTCATTGATCCAAATCGCTTTCCAAATTTGTATGCTTGCTTTTTCTGGCAACGGTGCCATAAAATGCTTGCCCTCAAAAGTGAGTTAGATATCAATGTTTCCCAAGAGTAGAAATATATCATTTAATAACTCTGTTGATTATTGAGGTCGTTCCCTCAGGGGAAAACAAAGAACAAATTCAAAAGGTAATGAGTAAAGAAAAATAAAATCTTGAATTTTTACAGAGAAAGGTTTTGAAAACAAGTAAACTAAAAGGCAATAATTAAAGACAACCGGTTAATATTCGGAGTTGATCTCTCTGTGAATAGACATTTTAACTCAAATTCTATAAAATCACTTGAGATTGTGGTCAAACGCACTCAAGTAGTAGATATTCATTTAATACCCAATTTATTAAATAATAAATATGCCTTCAATACAATTGAATTGATTAGAAGAAATTCACTTCGATTGCAATGATTCCAAGAATTACTTGTGCCAAATTTTAGTTGCCGACAGGTAAGAAAGAAGATATACAAATCAATAGCGTTTTTTTATTTTAATCATTTAATTAAACCAAAAAACTCAATAATAAATAAGCCCTAGTTTTGAGTCAAAATCTCCAATCCACAACTGAGACTACTCCCTCATAAAGTAAATTGAATTAAAAGAAAGTATGAATGACATGTTAATTTAAATAAAATAAATAAAACTTGTATTCAAATTGTAATTTCCTTAAATTTAGTTTTCAAGCACAAGTCTTCATTATTCTTTTCAATTCCATTGAACAATAAAGAAAAAGGAGGAGGAGCAGCCTTCCTTGGAGAACGTTCAAGGAGGAAGTCGTGTCTCTCCAAAGCTCCCAAAGGTTGGTATTTATAGGAGAATGGGAGAGATATGACTCATTTTTAGAGAGATTTTTTCCTTTTATGTCTCACTTTTATTCCTAGAAAATTTCCAAAAATATCTCTAAGATTTGGCCAATTAAAACCCATTCCCTATCTTGTCTCTTGCTCCTCCCATAAAGTCTTGGAAGACATTGGAAGATATCCCGAAATATTTTGTCAGTCAACGATTGGGAGAAGGAGTCCTCACAGCAAAATTGCTCTAACCTACCGTTTGGAAGCACAAAACGACCTATCAATAGAATTGTTCATTGTTTTCCTTTTACTAGTTGTCTTGCTCTTCTGCTAATAGAACACCTTTGTGCCTTTAACTTACCGGTAGAACAGTACTCACCTACCAGTAGAACAGATCTCTGCTTTACTTCTATCGGTAGGAACAAACTTCTATTGGTATAATCAATTTCTGCTCACTATTGAAATGGTAGAAGACCCACCGGTAGGATTAGTCTTTTCCCAAATTTTACTTGTAATGCTCTTGGCTCTTGGATCTCCTAACTCATTCTCAGAGTCTTCTATAGCATCAAAATGTATATAAAACCTTGCTCCTACATTCATTTACCTACCA